TGGTATTTGCGGTCAATGCGAAAGAAGACACCTACCGTTAGTGCCTTTGATAGCTGTCATTGTTCGCTTTAGAATATATCCACCCGCATATCGTAATGAAGGTCAGACGAAACTGAAACAATGCCGGTTGAGTAGAGACCACCCAGCTGCATGCCCGATTCCTGCCAGCAGTGCTCCCGTTCACTCGCTTTCTCGTTCTCCAGTGTGTCTTGAGGCAGGAACTTCTGAAATACGTAGTTCTTGCTTGAGGGTGTTCCTCCCCCTTGTAGACAGATCTCCTACGCTAGGCGTGTTCAGGTTGCCTTTGTTGATAATCTATTCTGAAAATTTTCCTCCCATTTTCATCGTATATGCCTCTATACCCACCGCCGTTTCATCATATCTCACCGCCATTTCATCCATTCTTCCACTGGTAACCCTTACCCATTTTTCTGGCCCTAATAGCATTCTGACACCGAATAACGAGCACATTGCCCACATTCAGCGCACTCCTGGTCTACAGAGCTGAGCTCAATGTGCTCCTACAGAGGGCTCTTCAAAGTATGCCGGGTTTCCGGGCAGACAACCAAACAGTCAGACAGATAATGACGTTTTCATTTATTGGTTAGGATGGGATTGTCATGTTTTCGTGTTTTCATGCTGAACAAAACCTACCAAATCATGGAGAGGTAGAGAAATTAGTCCCTAATCTATGCATAGCATTTGCTGAACACCTCATTACTCGAAAACTTCCCCATTTTCCAGCAGTTGTTGACTACCATACGGTGAACGGATCAGCGAGCCACCACCGTACTATTTGTTACTCGTGCGGCTGAGGCGGCCACAAGTTCACGGTATTTAAGGAGGTTATGGGAATGGAAATCCAGCACAACATTGTCTTTCGTCATCTCTTCACTCATTATGTTACTGATTACCTAATACTAGCTGAAAGTAGTAGTGAACCCTCACGAGAGCAGCGAGAGTGTGAAGTTTTCTTTTACGTTTTTTCCTCGCACAAGTAGGTTATAAAGGACAACTTATTTGTCTACGAGTTCGAAGGGATCTTCTTCTTCGGAAGGTGAAAGGCCACGATTGTGACTCACCGAACAAGCGCCTGTAACTCCCCCTCCCTCCCCTCACTGAAGCTCTGAAGTTTTTTAGTGCCATCGTGATTAGGGACAGCCACTGCCTACAGCTTTCTTTTGATAACAGTTGGCTACTCATTAGGACATGTATGATGAAAGACATGCCATGGTCATCGTCGTGGCATGATGAGTCGCGGCATTTTAATGAAAAATTAGCGCTTAGTGACTTTTTCAGGCCGCAACAGCTGCTAGGGAGGAGAAATCTCACCCAATCTAGTGGGAAGCTCCGATGTGAACAACCCCTCAATAAAAGGTGACCCCTCAGAGGCTTATTGCCATACGCTTCTAAGCGATGTGACCTATCCCGGCCAAGCCCTTCCTCTTCGAAGGCTTCGGTAGAACTCCATTTGCTTGTGTTCATTTTTTGGCGGACTTTACAACTCCCAGACACCATGGACAAAAGAGAATCTGTTAATCATTGACCATCAAGAGGAAGCAGTTACTGGTGACTATCATTAAGTAAATACACAATGAACCGCCTTTTCATTTACGGTTACATGGATTCCACGCAGACTTGGAAATCCCTCTTGTCCGTGAATCGGCGTGTGCGCAGTGTGATCACACATAAACGCATAAAGGAAAGAGCCTGACCTTGGCGAAGCGGGAGCGCGTGGAATTACGAACTTTTTTCCTTTCTTTTACTTTGCTGCTCTATTTTTCCCCTTGTAAAGTAGTTTAGTAGGGATCCTACCAGTTTTGCTACAATATTCATAGAAGTGGTACATTTCTTCATGTACCATTGCTAGTTTTACCTATCTATCGTGTTCGGTAAAAGTACATGAGGTTTTCTTGTATGTGGTCTATTTAGTAATTTAGGTGAGGATCTCATCGCTGTTACTAGGAATGTGTGCAGCTACTTCCAGTATCATGTGAGTTTATTGAAATTTCTTGGTGTTCTTATTTAACATTCTGCGGATTCGGTTACTCTGGGCATTATAACTAAATTCTACAGCTTTAACTGGTTTTATCCAACAATCCCACATTACTGGGCGCTGACGTAGTTGGTGGTTGGTGGGGGGGGGGGGGAGAGGGTCCCACTGGGCCGTGTCTCTGTGTGCCTTTTCCAAATAGAGTTGGAGCGCCGACGATTGGACGACTGTGCCGAAGAATGATAGTTCTGCAGGGAAGATACAGTTTAACTAACCATAAAGTTGAGCCTTGATTATAGAAAGGCATACAGGAAGCACTCGCCAGTGGTTCCTCTTCAAGGTACTCTGAAATTGTATTTTCCTTCGAACTGAGCTGGAACGGGTAGCATTAAAGTTACAGCTATTAAACTGGTATATGCGACAAGACAACCGTAATTCGCCGCGCTAATGGGCGTCGCATGCAAGTGGCAATGTTTCTAGGTAGCTACTAGCAACAAAAGACATAATTGAAAATAATCATAACCGTCTACGATCTCATAACCTACCTGAAACCCGGTGCTCCAATCAACAAGCAAACCCAAACTGGTAAGATGCCTCTCTGATCGCCGCGCGCGATGGTTCGGTAAATCATAATTGTCTTGACCGTCTTCCCTTGAAGTGCTTCATGAGCGTGTATTGCAAAGGAGCTTGCTTGCTTTAGTACTGAATCATTTGCCACGCTCCTAATTTCGGCTATTTTTAGTTCTTAAAGGATTTTTCGTTGATGGATGTTAATTTGAACCATGCTTTCAAGTGTACTTCCTATAAATAAAGTATTCGTATTCTTGTTCATAAGACCTATCACAAGTTATTTTGATTCGTTTCTGAGATTTTTATGGCCCATGGAATATCCTATTAGTTGCGTGAGAAGCACATCTGAGTGTTGTTTTTTAACAGCCCATTCTGTCATGACTGTCCGTCCTTTAGGGATTTCTACAAAGCGGAACGAAATCGCGTGTTATGGCTGCGAGAGCAGAACGACACACTTACGGGTATGCATAATAAACTGTGGTTTATGGAGCTTTCAGTCTGTACCGCTTATTAGCCTTTCGTTCTTATTTAGAAATGTTTGTAAGAGTTCAGAGACGTTTTTAACTTCGGCATTGGAGCGATACAGAATGAATCGTTCGTATCACGAAGTATTAACACAGACTAAGGCTGCGTTCATACTTTGCAACTCGGCGTTTCGAGACAACCAGTGTTTTCAGCTTGGCGTTTTGAATGGAAAGGAAAGTGTAGGTGTCGATCGCTGATCTGCTACCTACTTTACGCTTCATACCCTCTACTAGCAGTCTGCTACCCGCTATCCACCATATTTCCACTTCGGACGCTGGCTGGAGCCAGCAGACGCTTATCGAATACCCTATTTCTCAATAGGCACTCGAGAGCACCGCTGTACTGGTGGACGGTGGCAGACGTTAGGTGCGATATCTAATCTTTCAATAGTCCCTTACATTTACCAATTTTTAAGACGCCACGTTTATAAGCCATTTTCCTTTCAAATTCACAACTTCAAAACATGTTCAAGACATTCCAGATCAAATTCAGAAAACTCTTCACACACGGCAGTTAATTACAGACAAGTGCAGTTACCTCGGATGGCTATCATTTTCATGAGCGAGGTGAATGGGTCCGTAGCAGCAGCTTGCCTGCCACCTCTTCCGCTCAAAGAGTCACGGATCTGGGCAGGAGAGTAGTGATGCTTGGTGTCGTCTCCACACTCGTTCCGTGCTATCCTCAAGGCGCAGTACTTGCATCGATACCAAAAGTCCGCAGCGAAACACAGTCTCAGTCGTAAAGAACAACCAGAAGTGAGAGGTTCCAGATAGGTAGCGCGTTCGGCTATGGTCAGGAGCAGCACGGGAGAGTATGGACACGGCACCCGGTTACCTAAACCTCAGCCTCGTCCCGTACACTTCTAGCGGGTAATGCGGCAATGTGGCATCAGACACGGGCAGATTGGGATGCATAGGTGAGCATACAGTTTGTCTTTGAAGCCACATCACAGCATTATTGAAGTCCCACCCAAGCAGCCATGGTTCATTTTCCGTTTTCTCAAAATTTTTATTTCATATTCTGGCTTCTGTGTTGCTTTTTTTCCTCAGTTTGCGTGTGCGGCGCATACACAGTCAGCTGAAAGGGACCGATATATCCGATCGGCGCGGAAATTGTTTAAAGTTCTTGGACGCCAATAACTTTTTCAACGTCGTATTTTCACAACGCAACGATTTTTTTTTTTTTTTTTTTTTTTTTTTTTTTTTTTTTTTTTTTTTTTTTTTTTTTTTTTTTTTTTTTTTTTTTTTTTTTTTTTTTTTTTTTTTTTTTTTTTTTTTTTTTTTTTTTTTTTTTTTTTTTTTTTTTTTTTTTTTTTTTTTTTTTTTTTTTTTTTTTTTTTTTTTTTTTTTTTTTTTTTTTTTTTTTTTTTAGATGCACGCAGCACCCCAAGAGTGTGCCGCCCACGAAACACATCTCATCTTAATTTGGTGTTTTCATTTCCTTTGCAATGGTTTGCAGTGAAGAGATGTTCGACATCCTCTTCATTCGCTTATATCATAGCTCGAATTCCATGAAAGCTAACAAAGCCTCTTTGTTCATCACCTACTCCTTATTCTTCCCAGAAGGAAAGAGGTTAGGCTATATGTCTGGACTCGTCAAGCGGAAAAGTGAGTCAACCTGAAAATCGGCTGACAGCAGTAAACCGAGGCCACGGAGCTACCCAAATAGCAATACGATAGAGAATGAAGCTAAATGCGTGACACCTAGCAAAGAAACTAACAGACGCCGACAGATTTCTTCTTTACCAATGCCCTATGAGGCCGTTTATCACTGTGGAACCAACACCATGAACACACGAGTACCCTCTCCTATCTGTTCCCTTTCTCACCACATTTCCAAGCTCACGCTTTCTATTATATGTTTTCGCCGCAGTGGTTACTTTAACCACAGGAAGAAGAAGTGCGCGACTTCGCTACTTTCTGTGAGCTGAAGTGACCTGTGCGGTGAAATCCTTGGAAGAGAGGAGGCGTAACAATGTTTGTAGCTCCGTGTAGCATTCCTTGACATCCAGATTGCCGCATTTACCTGGTAAAGACCGGACGAATTTGTCTCCAAACCCTAGCTGAAAGAACTGCGTGAGGAACAAAGAAGAAACATACAATCTTCCGATGGCTTACCGATCCATGGTAATTGACATAGAGAAAAGCAAATCCAGAATTGATTAAAGAAGTTACACTTCGTCGAGGCCATCTGAAATCTTTGTGTTATGATTGTAATGATAGCAGAGAACAAAAAAAAAAAAGAACATGGTGACCAACCCAGCAACTGAGACGCCGTGCGGTCCTCCATGAGGACAAACAACCAACGGTAGAGATTCACCCTCGTTTGGCATCATCAGTACCCCCTCATATGGCGTCTCACCTGAATCAAATCTACGTTGTAAACTGGTTTTTCATTTGAGATGACAAATCACAAGCTACAAAATCAGCTACAAAAGGATCTATACAATTACGAGAAAAACCTGAAAGTGTTCCTGAAAATGAAGTAATTTCGCAGATCAAAATTACGTAAGGAAGCCCGCTCCCTCGAACGGAACCGTGGCCCCGCACACTGACCGGCTACGCCAAACTTTTAACTTTTTGAAGGTGACCTGGTGGTGCGGTTGTTCAGCTACTAACTCCAACCATTTCGAATGGTGATAGTGAGGTGATAACGACGGCCTGGTATTATGAGTCTGTCTCCGCATATGCAAGCACGGTTGCTTAGGTTAAACATTGGGCTTTTTATGGAGCACTTCCTATGAGTTCCCTCCGCTTTTTTTCTCTACTTTGTCACTTACTACCTTGTCACTTGAATAAGAGCCGCCCAACTCCTCATTTTTAAACCCGGGGCGTGCCTTTAAATGAGCACGGATGACCAGAGTTGACTTGTGGCCCCTTATGACCACGTTAGCGCTAAGAACTGATCAAAACTGCACCTCGCGTTGGAAGCCAACGAGCTGCCAGTTGTAGTTCAAAAGATTTTTTCCGTTTCTCAATGATCGAACAGTTGTCAAGTCGAGTCCAAACCATCTGAAAGAGCGAATTTGCTCACGGGGAACTAAACAACAGATTCAGTCAGCTCACACACCTTGTCTTCTTGACCTTTCGCAGGTATAATTCCGAGGAGCAAAGCAGGCGGCCGGTTTGGAGCGGAAACTACAGCAAGGATATCGTCTTGGCAAACATCCACTACCTGCCAACTACCGTGACATTGACTGTGATTCGTCAGTCTGGCCACATGGCCACTAGAAACATCTATTGCCACCAATTCCTGAAACATAGCGTAACCAATCTGTTCGTCCTAATCCATTTTTCAAATTGAAATCTTTACCATTTTTGCTTTCTCGCAAGCAGTGCAACAATCAAGCGACTTCCATCTCTGGTCCAACACGCTGCGCTTTGCGTAAATGACAAGCCCCACCGGAAATTGAACAGGGGCGGCTCAACTTCTTGCACGGTCGGTACGACAACAGTTGGAGGAGAACCATCGTATGGCCATGGCACCTGCAGACGAGACGAATAGAAATGAGTAGTGCTACACAGTATTCAACATATCAAAAAACAGCAGTCTTTCAGAATCTAATTCAAAAGTTCATGGCATCATAAACCGAGAGGAAAAGAGTGAAATGGCACTATATACACACACCTTAAAAAAAGAATAGCGAATCCACTGTGATCCCACCTATTCCAAAATCCGACTGAATCGCAGAGGAAATTCCTTCCCCGAATGTACAGGGGGGGGGGAGGGTGCAAAAAAAAAACTTTCTTTATTGACTTTCGAGGCGCTATAAGTTACACTTTATTAAATTCTGATCGGACATTTTTACCACCATATTAAAGAGCATATTAAATACTATCATGACACTCCGCCACAGCCTTCTGGACGAGCGCCATCGAGAGATTCTGGCACGCGACCGCGATGTGGTGCCTGAGATCAGCGAGATAGTCGATTTCTCCGCCACCGTAGACCACCCTATTGAACTCCGCCCGAACCGGGTAATTGACGGGATTCAGGTCAGGTGATCTACTTGTATATTCCACCTTCTTTAGGTATTCAGCCCCCTTCCATTCCAAGTAGGCGAGGTTTTCTCAACGCCCTCCGATTCCATGTGGTGGCACCCAATGCTGTAGCAGTACAAAGTTTCCAAGAAGGTACGGGCGACGACATGTGAGGAGGATATTCTTCACGAGTTGCTCGATGTAACCGCCAGCGCTCACCTTCAGTCCGGGGCCCGAAGAAAATATTGGTCTTTCCATTCCAGGTACGTCCGGTCCATACCATCAACCGCGCCTTGGCGACTGTGGTGAAGATGATGTCCTAGACCGTGGCGACGTTGTCGGAGCTGCTCGATGTTGGAGGTCATCCAGATCGAGAGTACTGGTCTCCAGGTAGCTATCCATGGGTGACTCCATACTAGAAGTTTCGCAGCTGTTTGGAGGTGACATGAATTCCAAAGGTCTTCTCCAGTAAGCGACTGAATATGACTTCATGGGGGGGGGGGGGGGGGGGGGGGGGGGGGGGGGGGGGGGGGGGGGGGGGGGGGGGGGGGGGGGGGGGGGGGGGGGGGGGGGGGGGGGGGGGGGTATGTA